TCCAGTTTCAGGACACATTTTGATGTTTAAAGGGACAGTGATTTGGAACTTAAAAAAAACCATCTTCATACCTACCATATACAAGCAAAATGAGAGTTAGCATCCCTCATAAACTGCTAAAGATATACCAAGAAGTGGCTCTGAATACTTATTAAATATATATATATGTTTGTGTGTGTGTGTATATATATATATTTAATACTGACAACCATACTAAGACTTAAGAGCAAGGTTCTTCTCACTTACTTAGGACTAAACATGGCATAAGCCCATTGCTTTGGATTGGACTGGAAGGTCTGGCAGTTGCATCCTTGAGTGGAATCTGGCCCAAACRCAGTTGGCTCTGACCACTCAGTTACTTCCTGCGGGCAACCTCCGGTGCCGACTTTGGCGGGAGCTGCTGCTGCTGAGGCAGGTCTGCTGTGACACAGTAACTGGGAGGACACAGGTCTTAGTTTATCTTCTGGGGCTTATTTTTTTCCCTTTGTTTTACTACCTCTCATTTTCTTAATTTATTGAACATGCTTCAGATAGCAGGTTTGGGGAATTTTTTAGTCATTCTTTTTACTTGACACCTGTGTGCTTTTTTTGGATATATATATGAACAATTTAACAAACTGTTTCTTAAACTCATTTGGTTTTGTAATTTATATAGAATTCAGGAGATGATTAAAAGGGCTATTCTCTATTCCCTATGCAAATATTTTAACTGTTGTAGTGTTTGACAAAATGGGATCTAAAACAAAAAATCTGAAAAGTGGGAAACAAATCTGTTTACAGTGGCATTGCTGACTATCCTACCATATTCAGCACTTTTAAATATTGTTATTTATGAAAATGTAGTTTAAATGCAAGACAAAATATTTATAAATGTTTCTTTTAATAAATACCTGTTTTGTCTGAAAGTGCTACCGTGTTATGACAACTTTATTCATGTTGGTTAGCTACTTACCATTATGAATAAAATATTCAATTATTATACTGATAGAATACAAGCTATGATGTTTACAAATCCTGAGGGGGGAAAATTCACTGAGAAAGGACTGCCTCCTTCTACTGTGAAATATGTTAGAAGAAAAAAAACTTTCTTGCTTTTTTCCTAATTGGAATTTAACTATGGTCTACATATGTCTAGTATCATTTGACTAGTTATATTTACTTGGTACTAAACATATACAGCATCATATATGTATATATTTACATAGTGTAATTTCAAGTTGTTGGTGTTTGAGGCACAACACATTTAGTGCACACATCTAAGCAATGTGGAAGAAACAAAACTGCATGCATAACTCTCGACAAATGTAGACTTGAATATTCTTAATGTTATTATTTGATGGTGACCTGCTAGTCATAATCTATCTTTATAAGATATTTCACACAGGCAGAAGTTCTTGTCAACATAGACAAGTCATCTTTTCAAGACAGTTTTAAAGCTAGATGTGCAGGCCCTAAAATATTACCTTGATTTCTAGCATAAGATTCCAAAATCTGTATTTGGAAACTGTGACATCATTTTGAAATATATTACACCAATCTTCAGTGTAATACTGCAATGAAATCACGTTCAAAAATTATTGTCTAAAATCCTCCATTGGGAGGGATTTAAAAATTGAACATAGTATGTAAAGTTTATTTCTTGGAGCAAGTGCTCATATTAAAATGCTTACTATRCATTTCATTTATCAGTTTGGGTTTCCCAAATTTTTTTATGACAAAAATGGATGTGGTCCAAATGGACAATAAGTCACAGCGTAACATGATCTCATTGCCTATCATACAGTTCTTCAAACAGAAATTGTATAACAGTCAAGCTATTAAACTGATTTATTGTGCATGCAGTGTACAATACACTTTGAAAAACTGCCTAAATACACTTATTCTATAGCTTGGAATAAAATAAGTATGTATTTAACTTGTATTTCAGTTTTTCATGAGAATGTATATAGCAAGTGCACTACAGAAAGCGARTTATGTTTTTGTCACTTTTGCCTGGTGTTTCATATTTCTGTCCAATAGAGCCTAATGCCAAACAGCAASAAATAAGCAGAGCACTTCTGTACCCTTTCAGTTTAGGCTGAAACTGAATCAATATTGTGTTACACATGTTCAACTTAGCTGTTTACAGTCAGCTTTCACATAACTGAGCTTAAAGTAGTTTGGGGTACCCAGGATAAAGCAAAACCCACAGCAGTATCATGAACATTCAAATTAGCCTGAAGGCACRTGTGAAATGAAGGAGACTAGAGATTTGATGGAGAAAAGACAGGTCAGTGACATAGTGACACAGTGGCTGGGCTGCAACCAGCTGAAGCATGGTTCTATGGAAATGTGGCCATAGTATGTCCAGGTCCAAAACCAGTTTATGAGTCACTTGAGTACCTCTGGAGTCCACATAGTCCATTTTCAGGACAACAGAAAATGGACACAAACCAGGGTTCAGCTAGCAATAGTTATTCTTTAAATTAAAAGCATGCTGAAGTGCTGCTAGGCTGTGGTCTAAACCGAGCAGATAAAGGAGACCTACCCTCTATCCTCAACAGCCAGGGTTTAAGATGTCACCTCACGCTAAACTTGACTCCTTAGGCAGCAAATTCAATTACAAGGAGCATATGTCTATGGAACCAATATCTAAGGTCAGGTGCCGGCTTTTTCAGTAAGRGCAGCTTGCTCGACTGACCATGCTGTGAACCCACTGAGGAAGCCACAACTTCCACACGCAGTAGTGCTTGCAAAAGCCATTTAGCAGAAATATTCCATACCACCAATTCAAAGGCAATCAGAGCTGATACAAGTTTCTAACTTTGCCAGCTCTCTACACCTCAAAGACTAAAGCTCACATTTCCACCATGTCTGTGAGCCTGCTCCTGGCATGGTTGACCCAGCCAACAGAGCCTGAATCCTTATTGAAGCCAGTAAAGCAAGAAATTAAGGTTGCACATTGACAGACAACAGCAATGGCTCTTCCAAGTTGAATTGAAACATGTATAACTACCAATTTCCACACAGGACTTTCCTTGGCCTATAATGCTGTTTTTTTAAGAGACCCAGGAGTAGCACTGTAGCACATCTTGAAACTTGAACAGAGTGACAAGGGTCCAGTCCTGTTCCCCAATACCCTGAGTACATTTGGAGTGACAGCATCGGCCCTGTTCAAACATGTCCTGAATAATTCTGCCAGCAGAACAAGTGATGTTGGTGGGATAAAAGAACAAAAATCAGCCGGCCAAACATTTGACAGCAACAGTGTCTGCACATTACTTTAACATTAAATCAAACGTCAGGTTTTGCCCCTTCCTTTATCTGTGAACTCACTCTATGGAAATACATTCTTCTCATTTAAAAAAAGGGATAGGATTCAGGTGATTCAAAGGCTAACCATCAGTCACTGACTCAAATTAACTTTTTTTTTTTTCCAAAACTTTATTTTAAACTACCCCTTACTCTAAATTTCCTGAGTYTTCTATAGGTCTCTTCACAAGCTGGACTCTTTCACTGTTACAAAAAATCAAAATAGTTTGTCTATTAAAGCATAAATTTGGTCATTGTTGCTTTATCCTTCTGGAAGAAGACTTCAAAGAACTTCATGGGCAGGCAGTAGTGGATGCAAGGGAAGCTTTKGGTGGGTGGGATTTCATAAGAAAAGGCCTGGGATGTTTGTCAGTGCCAGACAACTCACACAGACTGTACATTCTCCATAAGAGTCTTCAAGTGTGATTTTTATTTATAAATTATTGATGCATTGTATTTTGCCAATACACCTTATCCAAACAGGTGCATTTAAAATCATAGGGAAATGTTTTGCATTAATTTTAATGTTTCATGTTCTGCATAGCAAATTCTCACATTGGCCTTTGGATTTTCATCATGCAACAAAAAATTCCAAGTCTTCTTTTCTGACTACCCAAACTACTTAGGCTTTCAAGAATGACTCTTGCATTTGATATTACATTTGTGAAAAAAAAAAAAATTACTAAAGGAAGTTACTGTTATTCCAATAGCGTAATTTAGTTGTAAGGCATGATTGCCTACTTCTGGTAAGACATGAACAAGGACAGAAGAAAGGCAAGGACACAACTCTCCAATGATTGTAATATAAAATATTGCTTAAAAATTTTTATGGATAGTCCCACATTTTTGTAATAAAGTATGTTCTTCAAAATGTTTTGCGTTTAGCCAAGAATCTCATTAATGGTGCTATCTAAACCAAGGCTAATATGCCCTTGGTGTGCACATCAGGAGGGATTTGTCCAGATCATCCCACAACACCCATCACATTCCAGTTACTAAATGGCTGCATCCTCACTGCCTTCCCACTTAAAACTTTGATGTAAAACATTGTACTAAGATCTGTATTTTGTAAATGGGCTGTCTTTTAGACTCACCACTAATCTCTGATGTGAAGGCCCTTTCAGTTCCCCTTTTTTGATCTCTGGACAATTMATTTCTTTTCCTCTAAGTCCTTAATTTTGCTCCTCCTTTCACTGTTGGGAGCATCCTTCCTCAAGTATTTGCATGTTCCTTCTCAGGGTATTTTAATTCTGTAGATTTCTTCTGCAGGGAGAGGAGAAGGTCTGTAAGATTAACCCGGATAGCCAGAGCCCCAGCTCACACTTCCCACCAATCTCACTTTCAGCCATGCAAACTTTAAACCGCCTCAATAAAAACCACAGTAACCCCGAGGCTCTTGCTCAGAAGTCCTGCTATAAGCTTGGGGTATGGAGGATGTGGTGGGGTTTTGAGGTTTTTTTGATTTTTTTTTTTTTTTTTTTTTTTTTATTTAGAATGCCTTATCGCCCTCCCTCCGGAGCCTGCAGGGGGCGCTCAGGGGCACCCGGCCGGGGAATGAGGCGAAGCCCCGCCCCTCTGCTCGTCCCGCCTGCGCTGGCCAATCAGAGCCCTCCCGCCTCGCAGCGGCGCAGCCCGAGCAAAGGCAAGCCGAAACCCTTCGGCCGTTTCCGCCGGCGGAGCCCCGACAATTTCCGACTGCGCACGAAGTCAMCGTCGAGGCTCTTGGCAACTTCCGGAAACACGGAACGGAGGCCACCGAGCGCGTTCGGGTGTCTCCCTCACGGCAGTGACGCCCGGGCCACAAGAGAGCGGCCGCGCTCCCACCCCGGCCGGACATGCGGTTGCTCTGGCGAGTTCTCCGCGCGGCGCAAAGCTGCCGGGCCGCCGCGGTGCCCTCTCGATGCCTCCTCGGAGCCGGATGGCCGCTCCCGCCCCGGCGCGGGCTGATCGCGCGGCCGGGCCTGGAGGAGCTGTTCGCCGCGCCCTCYCTGCGCCGGCTGCTGGAGGAGCGGGCGCGGGGCGATGGCGGGGCGGCGCCGCAGCTTGCGGCRCGCGTGCGGCGGCTGCGCGACAAGGAGCGGGAGCTGCGCGACACACGGGAGCTGGCGCAAGGTGCGGCACCAGGGGCGCGGCGGGATTGCTCGGCGTAGGTGACGTCACCGGGGAGCGGCCCTGAGGGGCGGGGCGGAGGACTCCTCATTTGCATGCGCTGGCGCGATTTGGGGGGCGGGCGGAGGACTGCTCATTTGCATACGCTGACGCGATTGGCGGAGCGGCCTCGGGGGCGGGCCGAGACCGGCGCGTGGCGGCGCGCACCTGCCGGGCTGGCGGGTCCGCGCGCAGGGGGCGCGCCCCGGTGGCGGGAGAGCGACGCGCGTGTCACCGGGTTGGGGGGGGTGACGGTGACACACGTGTCTCCCTGGGGGAGCCCGGGGCGGTCTTTTCCGGAAAAGAAACCACCCGAGCAGAGGTCAAGGGTACGAGTGAGTGGAGAAGGTACTTCCGCCGGCGTGGGAACAGCTGATACYGGGAGAGCAGCTATTTCATATAAAACAAAGCTAACTAAACAGGAAAAGAAAACTTGCGAAGTTTTGGTGTTTTGTTGTTTTTTTTTTTTTTTTAATCCATCTTTCCCTTGCTGCCAAGACGGCCCAGCCCGCCTGCCTATCTCCGTTTTGGCAGTCACAGCACATAAATGTGCTATCTCCACACTATAATTTGACTTTGTATTGTGCCAGAAGCTGCACATTTTTTTTTCCATTCCCAAATAATGGAATATTTTTTTACTCRGAATCAAGCTTGATTTTTGATAGCAGTTAGGAAAGCAGAATGCAATAAAGAGTACTTTTWATGTCAGCAAGCATTCGTTAGATGATTAAGTATTCACTAGAACTGTAGTATTCAGATTTTTACATACAATGATAGGGGTATTAGTCCTTTTAACAAAGGGTATTAATTGTGAAATTGCTGTGTCTTTAAATCCTTCATGTTTCTGGCAGAAAGTAGTTTTGTAGAGCCACAGTATGGCTGGTGTTGGAAGGACCTTTGGAAATYGCTCAATCCATGCTCTGTTCAAGCAGGGTCACCCACACTTTGCTCWGGATTTTGCCCAGTTGGGTTTTGAGTATCTCCAAGGATGGAAATTCGCAACCAATCTGGGCAACCTGTGCCRCTTTGACCACTGGCACAGTAATTGGTTTTTTTTTTTTCAGTTGGCTTGGGTTTTAGTTTTTGGCGTTTAAGTGGACCTTCTTTTTATTTAATATTTTTCTCATGTCTTATACCTGCACAGGATTAGAAAACAATATGTACTTAGTATGATTCTTTACAGATCGTATTAGTAATTTGATTTTCTGATAGGTTGGTGTGTTTGGGGGTGTGCGTGGTAGTTTGGTTTTGGTTTGGGTTTTTTTTTTTTTGGTAGCATAAGTTCTTCATGTGGTTCTTTTTTCAGAAAGTTTTCTCAGAATGGCTCTGGTATAAGTCTGGGGATTAACCATGCTCAAATATTCCAGATGAGAATGAAGATTTCCGGAAGCTTGCAGAAACAGAAATYGCTTCCTGTGAAGAAGAGATAGCTGAGCTGAAACAACAGGTTAGATCCCCTTATACAGCCTCTCTTTCCTTGCCATTCTTAAATTAAAAAAGCCAAATTATCTTTTTTGGGGTGTTGGAACTAGGTGATAGTTAATGCCACTTGCAACCCAAACCATTCTGTGACACTTGTCAAGMTGTATGTGATGAATTCTTCTCCCCTGTGTGCTAGTTATACTCCTCAAATAGTGTCTGTTAGCTAAGGAAAATGAAAAAAAATTAGATGCCATAAAGACATCCTGTTAGCATGTGCCTATTTGTACCTGAAAATATTTCTATCGAAATATCTTTTTAAGTAGGTGCTATAGTTTGTCTTGTCCGGGTGTACTTAATGGATGTCCAAGGCTTTATCCCTTGGAAACATTAARCTTACATAGTATCACTTAGTAATCAGTGTGGAAAAAATGTAATACTATGTGACTACATTAGGCTACCACTTATATAGATGTTACAGAGTATCTTTTATTTAAGCGAAAAGATGACGATGTTTAGGTAAACAGACTGTTGAAATGTTTAGGTAAACAGACTGGTATGGTCACTTTCTTTATTCTTCTGACAATACAACAGTCACTTTATAAATACCTTTTGTGAATATTTATTATTCTGCTAAAAGAAGTCATCATCTGTGGAAAGAAACCTCACTAAATGCTAGTAAAGGAAGAGGATTGAAAAGCATTTGCAAATCATTCAGAATTTTGATCCAGCATGCAAAATTTTGATACAGTTTTTTGGGGGCTTTGATGTATCTTGCTTCTGCAGATAGGCACTTCTTTTTAAAATAAAAAAAATGAATAATACATATGAGTTGTTGTTGAAGGACTATGCTGAGCATCAATACCTTCTTAGCTCTGCAGTTGAGATGGAATTAAAGGGGAATCTGATTAGAAGGGAGATATTCAGTTGTTTTGCAAGAACAGGCATGTATCCTGTGGTTCATCCTCACAGTGCTGCTGATGAATTAAAAAGTTCTGTGAAGTTCCATGGCTCTCAAGAGAGGCCTGTGTAGCTCCTGTGACTGTGGAGCCTTCCTGCAATGCAGCAYCACCCCTGCACGCCTCTGCCTGGATGAAGCCTGCCCTCAGGGCAGGAGAACACAGCCTAGATCAGTTACAGACTTTTTTTGTACTGTCTCGGTGGTGGATAGCAGTGTCAGAGAGGAGTCTTAGCTGGGTGCTTTTGTATTCACAGATAGTGTTGCTTTTGATTCCTTCAGAAGAAACAGATGAGAGTGATCTTATCATGGAAGTAACTGCTGGAGTTGGAGGGCAGGAAGCCATGCTGTTCACCTCGGAGATATTTGATATGTATCAACGATATGCTGCTTATAAAAAGTGGAAATTTGAAGTATTAGAATACTTTCCCAGTGAAATAGGTTAGTAATGAATATACCATAACTTCTTAATTCAAGTTGAAACACTCATTCATACAACGGTTTAATTTCCTAAGTAAAGGAAGCTAATTTGCATCTTAATTTTAGAAGTGGAGGATTGTTTTCCTCAGCTTCTGTATTTGAGAATGAAACACTATTTCAGAAATACTATTAAAATACTAAGGTACTACAAAGAAAACTTACCTTTTAGTAATTTGATTTTTACATTTTAAGACTATTGAAAGATAAGTGCTTGGCAGAAGGAAATTTAGAAAGTAATATGGGTGTGTCGGTTTAGTSYTTTTTTTTCAGAAATAAAGATTATGTGAACTTYRTTTGACTACASTGTTCTTMGTTACCTAATGTTTAAGTGTTTATAGATTGGTTGGGTAGAAGATTGAAAATCTGTTTATTATTATGGATCTATTGGCATAGAAGAATCAGTTTTATTAAAGCAACTATTGAAGTTTAATCTAAAACTTCTTAAATTTATTTGTAATAATATCTCATATAAGGAAATGGGATATTTGGATGTAACTCAGCTTTAACAGCTCTTAAATTTTTTATTAATATTTGATTTTTTAAAATGTTTGTAAAATGTTTGAATCATTTCCTTCAGAGTTCTTTTCAAATRTCTTATTTCAAGTTCATGTTCATCAGCTCAGGCTCCCTTCTAGAGTAGCTCACTCCCCTCTAGAGGTCTGCTAATGATTCAAATTAATATACTTCTTTTTAATTTTATGACACTTRAATTCTTTATTTTCTATTATCTAGATTTATTAATATTAATAAACTTTYTGTGTGGTCAAGAAGTCATTTGCCATGTAAACTGTTCTTACAATTTAAGTGAAGGTAGGGATGAGAAGCTTCATATTACAGCGTGTCTTGTTGCTGAAAGAGCAAAGTCATGTTCCTCCCCATTTATGACCAGGCAAACACTTTGCCAGGACCTGAGCCAGTTCAACCTTCAAAGCCAACAGAAATCTGTTTACTTTGTGTTTTTAAAAGTAAATGAAATAAACGTTTTACAGGTTAGATGGGTGTAAACAGAAAAGGGGAGGGTCTGGATCCACTTTTTTTCACATACTAGGGGGAGAGTTGCCCTTTCCGTTGGGGTAAGACTTGGGTCAGATAAATCCCAGCAGTCACAAACACTTCACCTTCAGAGCATAGTTCCACAGTCAGCTTAAGCAAGGGCTGTTGTACCTTCCTTCTAGCTGTATTCTTTCTCATATCTAGTTGTATATTTTAAAATGTGTTTTGCTGAGGGCCCATCTGTGCACTGAAATTAATGTTTAGTAAGGTGGGATATAAATCTTGGGAAAAATAAAGGCACCCCTAGCTTTTGTCAGCCTCTTGCAGTGTATTTTTAGATTTTGTATGACCATGTACTATCAAAACAGATGCTGCAAATTAATTGGGAGGTAGGGACACTATGCATGGCACAGCCAACGAAATGGACATTTCAACCCTCAGGTTCAAAGTGTCTGTGCTGTGCTGAGTAAGAGAGGGGGCTAAGGATGCTGTGACATTAAGTTGTTACATCCTACCTAGATTCCATTTTTATTGATTGCATAAGCAAAAGCAAGGTCCTACCTTAAAATGTTGAATTCCTGAATTTGTTTGGAATGTGAAAGTGAGCATGGGTGAGCAAGGTGAATGTTAAATAAAGCTGCAATAAAAAATAGGTTACTGTCCACTCTTACAGGACTTTATTGACCTACCCCAAGAGATGCCACTGTGTAAAAATAGTGTGATGACTCGGCACACATGTTAAAGCATAAACACGTGTCATTATTTATCCACTGCCTGTAGTGGCAGGCAGAAACACAGATGTGGGATTTTTCCCCAATCCAGATATAAGATATATCTTGCCACATAAAAAATGAGTGCAAACTCATTTGCTCTGAGTAAATCAGATTTTAGAATAGAGTGGCACATTGTAAGGGGCAAACACATAGTTATCAGGAGCTAGCTATAGGCCTACAACATATCTGCCAGGGTAAAGGGTTTGTCAAAATKCCATTAGGTTTGGCTGCAGTTCCTAATAAACCTGTGTTGGTAATAGTTGATCTGAAGCAGTATGATCTAAATACTTGTCATTTGAACCAGTTTYTTGGTCGTCTTTTTCTAAGCACTGATGGCACACATATCACTACAAATTTTAAAAGCAGGACAGAAACGATGTGAAAGAGAAAGCCTAAACTGCCTCTTCCTCTCTTTCACAAACATGACTGTAAAACAAAATATATTTCAGTAAAGTTTTGACTGAWTATYMAATTTCTGTAAAGTAAAAACATTTRCAAACCTTGTYCATGGAGGTGAAAAATRTGGCATGTCCCTRGCTGGTGATTTTTTCCTCCTGCAGGACGTTTTCAGATTCTATATTGTCTTCACTTTGATTTTTTAAAAAGATGTTGTTTTATGCCTGTGGTTGAGTTCCTTAGTCTGAGAGATAGCCCAAATCAGTATTTCTGAGAARTATGTGTCTCTTTTCCTCACCTGTRGTTTCATATYGCAAGACWTAACGAGCAATACTCTTTCCAGGYCACCTGTGTCTTTAGTTATTCCCTTGGCACACCATCCACTGTGCTGAGAATGGGATTTGGGAACTGAGCTACACTAAAAACAAAAGTGGATGAAAAATTGTATTAGTTTATGGTGCTATCGCTTTTCTGTTCCTTGACTTACACTGCACACCTGCAAACAAGCATGAGCAAGAATTTCATAAACTAGTAGAGCAACAAACTCTTTCTGTCATGAAGCCGTGATTATACTGGGCTTTGCTGCCAAGTTCCAAGCTGTTCAATGCTTGTAGATGTTGCTGTCAAGTGTTTTGCTGGAGATATTGGTAGGAGGTGCAGGAGCTGGTGTCCTGTTCTCTCCAGAAAATGAAAATTAAATTGAAAGGAGAAGGTGACACATGAGTAGATGCATAGAGGAAAATGGATAATAAGAGTATGAAAAACACTTCTCCTTTAGTTATAATGAGCTGTGTTTTTTTCCCAATGAATGAACTAACAATAAACAAAAAATATGTTTCTGAAAGTGCCTTTGAAAATTTGACCTTTGTGTAGAATGACTGCTGGTGTTAGAGTTTTACTATGTTTTATGATTTTGTGTGTACATGTATGTACATTGTTCATAGACAAAATTTTTATGTATATAAAAAAATTAGACTCTATAAAAAGAATTTGACAGTCCTTTCCTTTTTGAGATTATGTGTGAGTAAATATGCATGGCTTTAAGATTTTTCTTGCATTTTTGGTGTAATTTTGCCCAAGTGTTTAATTGGTAAATTCATCATTTTAAGAAACAAGTGCCAGTGATGTGTAAATACTTTATTTGAAATATAACAGCATAGTACCAACAGTTCTTATTAAAGGTTTACAACTGTTTTTCTTCTGTRTTTAAGGTGGCCTAAGACATGCAGTAGCCAGTATAGCAGGTGTTGASGCTTACAAATACATGAAGTTTGAAGGAGGAGTGCATCGTGTWCAGCGAGTACCAAAGACAGAAAAACAAGGACGCATTCACACCAGCACAATGACTGTTGCAATATTACCCCAACCCACTGAGGTAACATTTATCTTTTAGTATAACAGACRTTACCAGGAGCGATGTTTGATACCCAAGTGTTTTCTGCTTCTCTTGTTATCCTCAAAGAYTTTTTTGTTTTAATTTTAAACTAGGTTGTGTTTTTAATCACAGGGATGAAATAAATAATTTCTGTCTTTTCTCATAATCCCAATGTCCAGAAAGTCACTTACAGTTTACTTGACTATAACTTCGAAATTCACTGTGACTCTGTCTTGCGTGTTTTGAAACTACATTTTCTGCAAAGTAATAAAAGACTGAATCATTTTACCAGGCTCATAGATACTTCTTTTAGCACTGCCTCTTTCCCAATTTTGTAATGTCCTCACTCTATTCTAAAGTATATGGGTGATAATTCCATCTTGCTATATTTGCTTAGTTAAAAACARTGGGCTAAGAATTAAAGCTTTGTTTTGATCTTCATTTCATGTTGACCTAGTAGATTGTCAGAGATGCTCCTTCCTGCACTTTCTTGAAATTGTCTTGCTCCTTCYTCACAGAGACTATTTCTCCACTCCAGAGCCATAAAAGGGATTATCTTCCATTTAAAAACCATSTGATCGAGCTCAAATATTGGTTAGCTCTGATGGAAAAGGATGCAGAACTCAGAGAAGAGGGAAATATAAGTGCTAAGGAATGGTTATGCATTAAGTTACTGTTTGGCAGATTTCTGGGATTCCATCATGATGCATTCCAACCAGATTACATAAACATATAATATGTTTATAAGAGGGTGTAAACTACTATTCATAAACGTTCATAAGTTTGATCTTGTACGGATGTGCCTTCTAAAATAAACTGACTGTGCATATTTGATATCTGTCTAGAAAGAAACAACATAAAATACTTCATTCCTTTTTTTTTATCTCCCATGGCAGATGAGGCTGCAAATTAGTCCAAAAGATCTACGAATAGAAACAAAGCGAGCTAGTGGAGCTGGAGGCCAGCATGTCAATACCACAGACAGTGCTGTACGGATAGTTCACATTCCAACAGGTGCCTAATTTTTTCCTTAGTACAAGTTCTACATTCYAAAACTGCTGTTAGAATTTCTGTTGAAACAATGGTTTTATTTTCAAACCAGGGCTGAAAATTTCAAAAATTTTCTACGATTGTAGAGCAGAGGTTTTATGTCATTTTCATTGTCTATTCATACTACTCTAAATGCACCATTTTGTGCCCACTCCAGTTTTTTACAATGAAGACTACTGGCTTCAGTAGGTAAGCTATCCATTTTGCCATTAAACATGATACTCTAAAAGCATCCAGATCAGTGCCTGTCAAAAAGTTAGATTTAAGCTTTCAAATAATGAAAATGACACTGAAAAATGGAGTAAGTCCACATCTGATAGTTTGCATTTTCTTGACTAGTCTCCAAAAGAGAGATTGCTCAATTTCCATATYAAAATGTTACTTTTAATTGCAGAGTCTACTCAGGATGCCAGCTCCCATTTGTCTGCTGGCTCSTTTCCCRTAGATGATGCACATAATTAAGAGGCCCATACCTCTGTCTCAGGTTAGGAAACATAGCAGGGGGGATAAGATACACCCTCAAACACTACCTGATTTTAGCTGTCATATGGGGGCTTTTTATTGCCCTTCCTAAGCCTTTTACTTCCCTTTGAGCAATCCACAACAACCTTCTTGACTTTCATTGCATTCTAACTTTTCCTGTTCTCTACCACAAACATTACTCAGGCTTTACGGCCTCAGGTTAAGTGCTTTTTATCTTCATGTATSCAGATTTTTGCCACACATTTCTTTTTATTTGTTTCAAACATTAATCCATTCTGCACTTATTGCATCATCTTAGTAAAGCAGAAGGTAAGTAGTGGGGAGGATAAAATTCTGTTCACTATATGGTGACAAAAAGATACTCCAGATTAAAAACGTTTTTAATTGCCTGCATGTTTGGATGAAAACACAACAAACTAAATCMAGCAACTGATCTTAGTTTTTGCTGAAGGCAGTTATTAGGGTGTCATACAGAAATCTGAAAATGTATTGCAAATTTTTTGCAGTTGTACATAGTTAACAGGGGAGTTCATACCTCACCCTTTCTCCTGACTTTTTCCTGTTCCACCTTTCCCTTCTTCATTCCTTTGATCTCTCTTGCCTTAAAATTGTCCTGTTACTTCTTCTATTTCTCTCATCCTAAATGTTTTTATAAATCTTTGCCACGATCCAAAATGTCATTTATAAATAAGTCTTTCAGAAAGTAATACTATGCAATCTTATAAAATCATCCTCTAATATTATGAGAGCTATTTAATAAATCCATATAACAACTTAGCTTGTGCTCCTTTTTTGGGCTGTTTGTTTCTTATATTTGTGTGTTTTGGGAAAAAGCACAGCCTTTTATTTTTTTAAATAAAATAGTGCCCACTTTCTAACGTTCTGGTCATATTCTATACACTCACTATCTCAGGTAYTTTACTGTTCCTTAAATCCTACRTTTCCTGGAACTGTGGCCAACATTWACGAGTATTCATGGTGTCTTTTATGAGTCAAATCACATCACATATCTTTTATTTCATTATCCATCTGTTGTCCAGGTGAATTAAATTTCCACTGAATTAAATTTYTTGACTTCTGGCATGAAAGACCTGTACAAGTTAGCCCACACTTCTCTCCCAAAATGTATTATTACTCATTAATAAGCCTGGACTTTTACATTCCCAGTCCAAAATRTATGTGGAAGAAAGAAACAGCCTAATGTAACATAATAAAAATMTTCAAGAAATTGCAGAACTCTTTTAGTTTGTGTTAATCTTAAGTGCTAAATGTTTCGATATTTTTGGCAGGGATTGTGTCTGAATGTCAGCAAGAAAGATCTCAAATTAGAAACAAAGAGAAAGCTATGCAAATGCTATGTGCTAAACTATACAATGCCAAACTAGAAGAAGAAACCAAAAAGAGAAACAATGCTCGAAAGATTCAAGTAAGTTTCATTTAGTTGTGATGTAATTCAGTACAGCCATATGTTTTCAGGGTAACCCCTTTGCTGAACTGCAAGTAGTAGATGGAAATACAGAGCAACAGGAGCCCAGGAAGGACTTACATGAGGCCAAAAAAAGGTGACAGAATCGTAGAATGGTTTGAATTGGCAGGGACCTTAAAAATAATCTAGCTCCAACTCTCCTACCATGGGAAGAGATGCCTTCCACTAGGCCACTCTGGAGAACAAAATTTGTGGAGTCCACAGGCTCTCTCAACAGCAAAATTACATTTTACTTCAGCAAAAAAGGTCATATATTAGCCAGATTTAAAATTTCAGTAGTATGTAAATGCTAGAGAYCCAGTGAAACAAACTAGATTGCAGCATGAAGAACCAGAATAGTATTAGAAAAAAACAAATAAAATTGTTCTTCTAAATGTTTGAGAACAATTACTACAACTGTTGAAGTAATCTGACTACTAGGTAACTGTAACAAATTTTGTATGGTCAAGGGAAGAAGAAAAATTTGGCTTAGTATACTTAATCAATATTTCATCATTTTTGTAACATGTTGATAAACTGATTTCTTCTTGTTCAATAGATTGGTACTAAAGGAAGATCAGAGAAGATCAGAACATACAACTTTCCACAGGATCGGATTACAGACCACAGAATAAGCAGATCAGTGCATCATGTTGAGTCTTTCATGCTAGGTGAAGAAATGCTTGATGAAATGATACAAACTCTGAGAGAATACGCTGATTATGAATCTCTAATGGAAATTATTTCAGAAAATGAAAAAAAKAATTCCTCCTGAACATTGTTCTTTCTCAGGTCATTACAATAGATGTAGAGCTTGGTCTGCAGAGAAGCTTCTTGGAGCACCACCTAGAAAATGGAACTTCTTTTCAGATCATGAAAAACATCGCAACTTGTTTCCTCCTGACTATTAAATTATTTTCTTACTTGCTGAATAAAATACTTCATTTTCTTCATATGAGACATGATTGCTACAGCAGTCCTTTTGAAAAGTAAATTTGACTGTGCCAGAAGTAACAGCAGTTTTRAACTTTTTCTACTGAGAAGATGCTGATACACCACTCTCAAAAGGTATGCATGCATTAAAAAAGGAGTTGTTTCTAGTTCCAGTTTTCATTTAAACTGTAGCTTAAGCATCTGTACAGTGTCAAATAGCTTATTTGAGTGAACAGAAAAATCCTGTTTTGTTTAAGTGATTGGGAAAAAGTGATAAATAAATTACCTCACTCTACATATCTGCATATTTATTAATCACTTATATATGTCATGGGAGAGGGAGTCAGAGCGTATCTGTCATATTTTCATGGCCTTCTGGGCCCCTCTTTATAAACACAAAACAAATTTAGGAATATCGCTTGTTCCAGAAAAAAAAAAGCTGTGGAAGCCAAGTGATGAATCATATGGATTGTTTTTGGAATTAATGTTTCTGTTATTGAGTCAAAAATTAAAAGAATCGTTACAATATTGTTTAGCTGATATTCTACTATCCACTTGACTACAATTTCTYCTTTATGTTTTTAGTTGACTCTCCAAGATACTGATTTTCTAAAGGTTACATGCCATGACTGGCATCTTACTGTTTCTGTCTATTTAACAGTGTCTCAAAACATTTGATACCTCTATCAGCTTTGTTTTCTAGTAAACACTGCATGGTAACTGTGATTAAGTTCCAGATCTTCTAATTAAAGATGCGTACATTAACTTCAGATGTAGGAATGTCTGTGTGCATTAGACAAGGCATACGTATTTCCTGTTGGTAAGCATGAGACCTAGGTCTACATTTACGAGCAGTATTACACTCCTGGCTGACACATAAAAAGTAAAAATAAATATTGACTCATTTTTTKGGGTAAAATAATAAGATAGTGAGTRGAGGAGAAACTAGGACTTTATTCTTACCAGATCAGTATGGAAGACTAGAGAGCACTTGTGACAGTCCCACYGACTTGACTGAAAGCCATGCTCTTTTATGCCAAGTGATAGATGGAGTTTGCTATTCTTTCTCACTTCAGTTTCATATTCCACCCGACAAATAAGAGCCATTAACTGAGTCTTCGTACTGCATTACTGCCTGAAACTTAGATAACTGTTTAGGTCTTTGTCACCCTAGACGTTCCCTGATGTTCTATCTTATAGCCTGTCTGGCCAGAGCCTGCCTGGCTCTCAGCCTCCATATTGTCATCTGGCTCTTGAACAGACACTTGGTATGTTGCTGCCTTGCAAGTGACCAGACTCTGATCAGTGTGAGAAAAACCAGACATCCTGTGCTTCTGGCAGGAGGCTGACAGAGGTATTCCAAGCCTGGCATCTGACTGTACTGTGCAAAGAGGGACTTCACTGTTCTCTTTGGCCTGTCATGGCAAGCCTTACTGTGTAAACTTGAAGTCCCCTGCTTTGCACTATATTATTTTTAATGCAAGGSATGTCGTCTCTGCAAACACAACCTCCCTGAGGTGTGAGCAGATTGCCTTTCCAGCCGTGCAGGGATCCCTGCACTGGTGTCCAGTCAGCCTAGCTCCCAAGTAGTGCTCCTACTCACTCTGCAACTACTCGTAGTGTTGGTCATATAAAATAAATACAGTTCTTTCATGGGGAGGAGCCCAGATCCACCACCAGACTTAAATCACAGAATGGATCAGGCTGGAAGGGACCGCAGTGGATCGTCCAGTCCAACCTCCCTGCTTGAGCCTGGTCCTCTTAGAGCACATGGCACAGRATTGTTTCTGGGCGGTTTTGAATATCTCCAGTGTGGGAGAGAGTACTTCCCCGGTAGASATGTTTTGCACTTTCGGAGCGTGCCAGAGCGATGGGAAGGTGGCATGCGCATCCACTTTAAAAAGCAGACGCAGATGTATCCAGGAGCTAGGCTGCGCTCAGGCGCGTGTCAGTGTCTGGACGCGGCATCGGTGTCTCTTTCGGGACGGCGAGCGGTGCGGGGCCGGAGGGCGGGAGGAAGGGGCGAGCGGTGCGGGGCCAGAGGGCGGGAGGAAGGGGCGGGCGGGAGCGGCCGCCGCGCGGGAGCCGGGACCGCGCCACACGCGTCCCTCCCTGCGGCCGAGGAGGGAAATCGTGGGGCCGGGCCGGCTCCGCCCGCCGCGCCGCGGATTGGCCATCTCGCCACTGCCCGCCGCCCATTGGCCGCGTCCCGCGCCGTGCCTCCTCGCCATTGGCCGCCGCGGTTTTGGATACCAAATTTAAAGTTTTTAAAAAGCGCCGGGCGAGAGCGGCCGCGCATTCACTGCCCGCGGCGGCGCTGGCGCGTCTCTGCAGGTGAGCGCGGCGCGGGCAGCGGCTCCGCCGGGACCCGCGCTGGGGCTGCGGGCTCCGCGGTCAGGGCTCCGCGCTGGGGCTGCTCGGGGGCGCAGGGGCTCTGCGGTCAAGGCTGCGTGGTTAACGCGCCTTAGCTGGGGTGGCGGGAGCTGCCGGCGGACGTGGTGGCGGGACTGTGGGGGTGACAACGGCGCTGCGGCGGGACCAGGGGAAGTGGGGACGGGGATCCTGGTGGCCGCCCCATCCCATCGCCCTCCTCAGCCTAGCCCCGCAGCTATCCCGCCGGCGGGACGGGATGGGATGGGATGGGATGGGATGGGACGGCGATGCATGAACGGCCGGGGAGCGCTCCGATCCCGCCAAGGGCTGCCTGGCTGATCCCAGCTAGATGCTCGCCACACTGGCGGGACCGTGTCCGGGCCGCGATGGGGACCGCTGCTCGGCTCCCGCCGGCGGGCAGTGGTGGGCGGGGAGGCGCCGCGCCCCGCTTCTCCCGCCCGCCGGGCCACGCCGTCCGAGGGGCATCCCCCCCGCGCCCTCCTGCCCGCTCCAATACCAACATTTTGGGGGGAATCCTCCAGCGAGGGGGAAAGGGGAGACCCCCGAAGGCGCGGGGAAAAATTCCCGGGGCTGTGGGGCACGGCGGAGCCGGGACCCGGTCTACCTGCATCGACCCGGGCCATCTTGAGCGCTGGGCGGGAGCAGCCTGACATCGCCGCGGGRGCCCGCGGCTGAGCCCGCTCCTCCGGGGATCGGGGCAGGCCCTGGGGCACCGAAACGTGGTGGGGAGAAATTGTCCAATTCATGTAGATTTCAGCCCAAAAGCTTCTCTGCCCGCTCGCAAGGAAGGGGAGGCGGGAGAAGAGGAGGCTTTGAAAGGGGTTGCGCCTCTTCCCCCAACTCACACGATACAAAGCCATAAATTTATTTGTTCCTTTTTCCCACCAAAAGTACCTACAAAGAAGGAACTTGTTTCTCTAAATCGTTCATGCAACACAATTTTTAATGCTTCTTTTCAAAACTGCTGGAAGTGCTTAAATCCTTTAAAATTCTTACTCAAATGGGAGATCTTCTATTTCCTACGGATTGCAAAGCATGCTAAAAATTATTTTCCCTTTAGATTTAACAGGGGAGGCATGGCCTTCTTCTCCCCTTCAGCTCTCGCCCATCCCCCCACAATTGTTAATATCGATAGCACCACATTTCACGGGGGAGGGGAATGAAACAGGGCAAGAGAAGCTCAATTTCCTTATGATATATATCGACCTCCCACCCTTTAAAAATCATGCTTGTAAGTACCTTCATTTCACTCCAACCATTGTTTAAGGATGGCCACTTTTCTTTGTAATTCACATGTAAGCACTGAGTTTTTCCTGTGCCACTCAGCCTCCTCCCTTTTCAAAAATTCCAGATATCTGGCTAAAGCAGCAGCATTTCCTCTGGTTCTGGGATGCAAACTTCAGGCTTCTCTGGTCTGCACAGGCCTGTGGTCACTCGTGGACCTTCTGCCACTGGTGTCCCTTACAAGGACCTCAAATGTCCTATGTTGCTACCTTTAGGGTAGGAAGTGGAAGCAGTAGTGTGTCTCATCTATGCTGTTGGAATGGTGACCAAGTGAATCACCCAGTCAATTTTCTTGCCCTAGTTATATGCAGCATAAAACTCCAGTTTTTGAGAATATCTTATTTAATCAGTGGCTGTTCAAATCCTTAGTTCCACTAGTTGTATTTTAGACGCTAGAGGGTCAGTTACATAAAAGCATAAATTCATTGTGCAKAAGGGAAACATGGTAGAGTCTTCATAAGAAAAAGAAATTGTGATCTAGTTTATGCTATGTTTTAATACTGCCCTTGTTTCTTCTTGCAGGATACAAACAACAAAATGAAATCAAACCTTAATCGCTTTTGCAAAATGAAGCGTGATTTTGATTGTACATCTCTTCGTGCTGGGTTTACACCACTGAAATGTGCTGTGGAGAAAACAAGACTGGAAAAACCCTGCCCCTTGAATTATGAGGAAGGCTTTTGTAAAAACTGTGCAGAAGAACATCAGAAAACACTCCTTAGTGACTCCTACCATGCAGCCACCAGAAATCTGGGTCTTGAAGATGGAGAAAGACCCATACATAACAAAGAAAACAACCAAATAACCCAGACACTTGATGAAGTTATCTGTGAAATGGAGGGAATGGAAAGCAGTAAACTTAATGAGGACAGTGGTTATTCCTCTATATTAGGTACTCAGTATGCTGATGCTATAGAACATGARGATAGTTTACCTTTGGCTGGGAATCTCTGTGGCACACCAAAACATTGTCTCATGAAGAACCAAAACCAAGAACAGTTTTCAAAGAAGACACTATTGCCAGTAATCCATTATGAAGAAGTGATTTGCTCAACTTTGAAAAAAAGTGGTAAAAGAAATCTCAAGTCTTGGGCTGCTGTAGACAGAATTGTTTCTAGGGGAAAGGTTGAACTTTGTAACTTAATTGGAAAGAAAATGGGACTGGATAGAATAGACATTCTTGCTGAACTCTTCCAAAAGAACCTGAAGCATGTATTAGCAAACATTTTAAGGCATCTCAGCGASATGGATTTAGTGAAGTAAGTATATTGATGTCATTGTATTTGATTGGGAAAGGAAAAAACATAATCAAAAGCCTTAATGTTTTAGATATGGGGTTTGTGACATTTACTCAATGTTTAGTATTATGTGTTAAAGTATTAAAACATGAATTGACAATGTAAGCCATGATACATATGGAGAATTTATCTTCTCCCTAGAAGGCAAATGAAAGACTACAACTTTCATTTGAACTATTCTATCTTTACATGAAAGAAGAAGGTTACAGTTATTCTTGCTATTCAGTAAATCCCATTTCTAGGAGGCAACTGATATGTTTGTACTGTCATTGCAGTTTTGCCAAAGTCAGCACAACATGGCAGAAGATTCTACAAGAAGATAAATGGATTTTCCAAATGTATAGCAGAGCTGTGAAAAACCATTCTGTAAGTTTCTGCACTAACCCATCACTGTTTTTCTCCTATTTCAGGTCTCCTCCTAACCTTAAGAGATCACAGAAGAGTTACTTAGATTGAAAACTGTCACTGGAATGTCTTGAGTTTGTTCTGTTAGCCRGCCCTATCTCAAGTGTTACTAGTGACATCAGTGATCCCAAGAAAGGTTGACTGAGAAGGCGAGCCAAGGATAGATGCAGATGTTCTTAAGAGCTTCTCTGTGTTACAGGGAAAGGCAGGAAGCAGAGTCATTGTCAGCACAGGCCACTGGACAACCCCTAAAGATTCCCAGCACAGACTTGCTTGCTTCAGCATCCCCATTGATCCAGAAGGGACAGAGACTACGATAAACCTCTCATTTCTTGAGAGATAGTGAGACAGACAACAAAGCCAACAGTCTTGGGATCTGCTACAGTATCCCACATTGAGTTTGAGTTTTATGTAGTATTTTACAGTGCTAGACTGTCGGGTGAAACATTTGTATACCACTGAATATTCATCCCATAAAGTTTGATTTCTTCAATGCTATTTTATGCTTTTTTGTTTAACGTTAACTGGAAACTTGGAAAATTAATGGGTGGAGTTTATTTTTCACAAAGAAGTCTTCAAGCACTCCTGTTCACTGTAAAGAATTGGAAATACTAATTTTTCCTTTAAAAATTGTGACTAATAGGTTACATGCTCTGCCTAAATGATTAAATGTTGACATGAAAATAGGATTATATARTAGAAGATGATTGTTTTGAACCAGGAACTAGGGTCCTGTTCTATGTATTCATAACTGAAGTGACTGTGAAAGTTATAAAATGAGTAATGCTCTTTGGTGTGATGCTTTATTATTGGAAACCAGGAGGAAGGATTGAAAATTACTTGACTTCTATTAAACAAAAAAAACAGTATCAGGTAAGTTCTCAAATTTAAGTCTTTGTTTTTCTTTTTATCAGAATATCATTAAAGCACCAGAACATGCTGCAACAAGAGAGTAYGCTGYCTGCAGAGTATCCTTAGCTTCCATYCAGAAAGCAGCCCCACCAAAAAACTTGAACAAAAAAAGCACCAGATCCAAAGCATCTAAGAATCACAGCAGGCTCACCGAGTTTTCTGAGGTAACTGGTGATTTCCAATAATCTTTAATTTGTCACATGTTTTCTGGCAAACAACCACCTTGTAAAGCATATTTTTGAAAGTAGTGTCTCCACTTTCAAGTACTTGCAATTTTTATTATATGGCTGCCAGATTTTGCTTAGTTTGCCTGTTGTGTGACAATGTCAGAATTTAAGTGGAGAATATTAATATACTGGGTTGTTCAACATCATTTTTTTTCTTCTTAGGAATAGTTCTTACTTCCAATTTTTAAAATAAACAAGCAATGCGTATTTCTTTTAATCATTCTGTGGGTTTTTTTTTTTGCCAATTAATTACCTGGCATTAAAATTACTTTTTTTAACTACATATTTATGGTGTATCACACATTTGGAGTTTTCAATAACTGCCAATAGCCTGTTTCCTTTCACATTCTTATTTTTGTTAAGCTGTTGCATATATTTGCAATGTAGATATGCACCTGTATCTTATAAGACTTAAAAATGCCTATTGAAAATTATGGTTTATTAATAAGCAAAAGATTTTCTTAACTACAAAAAGATTTTGTGCTCAGGCTCAAAAATCTTATTCTGCAAATTGATGCAGTAAGAGAGGAAGACGAAATTTCACTGGAAAGTATAATCAAGATGCTGTAATACTACTACATAGGACTTCATAACCTCAGGCATGTAAAAGTACAACTGCTCCGTAGCAGTTTAAAATTTTATTCCTATGTGTATGTCTATACACAACTATATCATCATCCTTGAATGAGGTTTGGAAGATTCAGAAGCTATTTTCCTTACTACTTTTGATTTAGCCTGTCCTTTAACTTCTAAATTTTAAGAATTTTAAATTGTCTACCTCTATTCCAGTACAAAATGCCTGCAATTATAGACTGATTATTCCTGTTCAGTCTTCATCAGAATCTGATACAACAAGAATTAGGATGAATTTTTAATTTATCTCTGTACGTTAGGAGAAGTTATATGTCTTGTAGCACTTAGATAACATCAAGAAGTTTGGAGAGTGTTTTTACTCTCTGCTCATGATTTTCTGTGTGTGTTTTTTCCAACAGGCTGCCAGGAACTTGAAAAATACYGAAAGCCTTAAAGCCTGCCATCGCTGTGGCTCACCTGCCAAGTACGACTCCTATCTCCAAAGAGCAATGTGCAATCGTGAAAGCTGTGGCTTTGACTTTTGCACGAAGTGTATGTGCAGCTACCACAGCTCCAGTGACTGTGTGAGCAGCAAACCAGTGAAACACACCTCTACRCCAGGGCCACTTCCCGGGACTAAGAAAAGCAAACAGAATCTAAAGAGGTTATGATCCATCCCTCCCGATACAAATTGGCCAACACCCCATACAAGTTTTTTTTAGCCATCCATTCTATTGTTCCTCTGTTCTATTTCATCATGTTATTCAGAAGGGTTTTAAAAGCATTTCTAGGGCTGTCAAGTGAGGTGAGTGAAGCCCCTTTTAATGTMAAAATATGGGGGACACCAGATTTTATGAATTTTCAAAGGTTTGCCTTTGATTTTAAAATGTGGACATTCATTATACCATTTTCTCTGATGGTTTCTCTTATGTGAATCTTAAATTGCTTTCTCCTCATTTCTTCTTTCAGAAAGCACAGGTTTTCCTTCAACCTTTTCCAAGTTTAAAAAAAAAAAGTACTGTATGTTGGCTATACTGCTAAAAAATACTTTGACTTTTTTTTTTGAAATTGCAAGCTAATTTTAATAATTGTATATATTTGTAAATATTATTCATATTTGTCTTGTAAATGTGAAAATAAATTACTATTCTCAACAGCTTGGCTGGCAAATCTGGCCTTTCTATCATCCTAAAACATTGCTTCTCATGCTCTTTTCTCATGTTTTCTAGTATGTGCTTCTTAAAATTGTTAATTTAACRAAGTGCAAGTCCCCTGGGTTTGTGTAAAACAGAATCCATTGTCATGCTATATTCCTGCAGCTTACCTAAAGGCTCTTAGCAGCAATTGCCAATAGTGTTGGAGGTGCCAACACTTCCTTTTCATTTCAATGGAAATTTCTCAATTGGCTGAATTTATGCTACTGTTGCAGAACTAGCTCACTGTCAGTAAAATATTCCTGATCCTGTAGTAAAGGAAGGCAAGCTTTCCAGAAATAGACTAGTAATTTTGTGGAATTCTCTGGGGTGGGGTTTTTTTTTTTGCCCTTTGGTAAGTAAAAGACTGGGAGGACTACACTCTAGGTCCTGCTTCTTGAAYTCTGGTGTGCATGGAGACAGGACGAACGGGAATGGCTTCAGCGTTAGAAGAAGGTAGGTTTAAATTAGATATTAGGAAGAAATTTTTTACTGTGAGGGTGGTGAGACACAAACAGGTTTGCTAGAGAAATAGTGAATGCCCAGCTCCAGAAATGTTTATGGAGCTCTGATCGACATGGTTTAATGAAAGGTGTCCCTGTCCACAGGAAGGAAGTTKGAACTAGATGATCTTTAAGGTCCCTTCCAACCCACACCATTCTGTGCATTTGTGATCCTATTTTATTCTGGTAATTAGACACCACCATCTTGATACGCATAAAAACACAGTGAGTGCTAAGCTGAGCATACAGCTAAGAAATCTTATAGGTAGAAGTCTACTACAAAATTTTCATCTGTGTCTGCTGAAATTCCCGTGTCCCAAAGAGCACAGATAATGTGATCTGAACAGAACTGCTATTTCCTATAATGATTTTGCAAAGTAGGGCACAGGCATTCACTCTTGAAATAATACTGCATTGTAGGACACATTTTTGAATTAAAACTTGTCTGTTTTCAAGCRGAACGAGGTAAAACAAGTTTACCTTTTCAGATTTTTGACCTTGCTTAAGGGAACAATGCACTTTCTAGTGGGCTTAATGATTTCTACACTGCGTAAAGAACAGCTGCTCTTTTCCTTCCTTTTTTTTTTCCCTTTTCATTGTTAGCTGTAGAAATTTATCTGTTCATGAAGAATTTTGAGAAAAATTCCTTATTACCTCTCGATAAGAGGGAAGAGTTGAACTACATGGCTGTGRTGGTCACAACTACAGATGAACAATATGAAGAAGTGGACATTTTTCACCTGAGCAATTAGGGGCAACTGCCTTCTACCTGAAACCTTGCTGGAAAGGTCAAATTATTTGGATTAAAGAAGCTTTGACCAAGCTGTAAGGGATCTGCTACAAGCCCTTGTGGCTGTTTCTACTTGCCCAGCCATTTTTGTTTTATGTGATCCTCCGATCCTTGCCTGCCAGCTTTAATTTTAATCAGAATAGACATTCAAAACTGCAGCCTTCAACAGGTGGGTGACAGCTTCTTAAGGACCTTGATCTGTTACCAACACTTAAAATTTTCTTAARCAAGATTTCTAAAGCATAGGGATGTGTTGGGCTTACACAGCTATTTCTTCCTTTATGGTAATCCTGCCCAGCAGCTGAAAGCTTGCCCAGTAATACTGAGCACTGAGAATGAATAAAATCATGCATCACACTGAAAGTCACAGAATAGTTTGCCTCCTCATACGTAGTGAATGGTGTGCTGCAGGAAAAAAAGGGGTGGACAATCAGTGCCCACCCAGGAACGCTAGCATCTACTGCTGAGGAGGAAAGCAGCTCCTCAGAGTGAGAATGTTGGGCAAGAATGTTACTGCAAGTCGTGCCCCAGCCGGTCATGAGGAGAGTGATTTATGAGTCAAAGGTGTGAAAGTCGTAGATGCAGATCGTTGTTAATGTCTCTGCTGAGCCTGTCTTGGCCCTGCCTTTGATATGCAAGCGGTGTGAGTCATACCCAGGGCAAGAGCACAGCCCTTGCCATATGGAGATCAGTACTCCTCAGGTACTCCAGCTGTTGTCAAAAAAYACTTTCAGACTCAGCAGTTGGCAGCCCAGTGACTTTGCAGGAATGTGATAAGCTTCTTACCCGAGCTGCATACGCCTTTCAGATCTACAAAGGGTGATAAATACCTGCAGGCTGCYATTCTCCTGCCTGGCTGGGCCAAGTACAGATTTCTCCCTGTTACTTATCTCTAGAAATGGCTCTGCATGATGAGGAAGGGTGGGACCTTTCACTACTCTGTAAGTTACTGTGTCAGCAGCTGTTCCCCCCATCTTGAACAGCTGTGAAGACAGATTATTCCTTAACTTCATCCTARCCCTAGCTGGGAGACAGACAGAGGTTGGCATCTAGGACTTTCTGAAATCAATACTGAGTGTCTGCATTTTGCAGCTCTTCTTGCTTTTAAGATGCTATCCTGAAAAACCCAAGAAGCTGCTCAAGGTTCTTGATTCTGACAAATCATTAAAGGCAATTTCAGCTCTCACCAAGCAAGCAGAGAAGCTGAAGAGAAATGCCAGATAGTGATGTAATCACTTGTAAAAACAGGAACAAGTTTGAATTCACTTATCAGTTTAAYATATCCTCCAGCATAAGCCTTTGTGCTCTGAGGACTATGGGACATATAAGACACAAAACAACCAGAACGAGCCTCTTACTTAAACTCTGCAATTGCTGGCACCTTAGCCCAACTGGTCATCTCAGAGCCTGATTTCTAATGTGTGGCAAAACTGGAGCATGTGCCAGATATGCTTTCACTAGCCAAGGGTTYTACTGCAACGAAACAACATTTTAGCATGTTCAATGGTTTTTTATTTTTAAAAAAGTGTAAAAGTCATGTGTTTGTCAGTGACCACTCTCAAAAAAAATTCTGTATATTTAGCCCCAAAAGGTAATGTCTGCCCTGTCTCAGAAAGTTTAACAAAAGGAATCTAGATTAAGATTCTAAATAAGAATTCCCTTCCCACCTCCCAAAGCCAAAGACTGAGAGCCCTTTTGAGGAAATTAAGCTGTAGTATTGAGATTTTTAAAAATTAAATCTGTTCTGGAAAGGGAAAACCACGAGATGGTGCTCTTGATTCACTCACTGCGTGAAGCCGGATTCACTGAGTTCCTTTTGCTGTTCACAGAGAGAGTATTCCCTCCATCTCTGCTGACTGTAGCTGTAGATCTAGTCACTACAGTCACGGAGAATCAGATTAAATCTGCAACGAAAAGAACAACACACAAACCTTGAATTCGATTACTGATTTTAACTTTTGCTTCAAAAGTTTTAAACTTTTTAAAAGTTTTTAATTTTTGCTTTTGTGTAGGATATGTACACATTCGCTAAACATGAAAAAATACAGGTGCTTTAAGCTTTGTTGTGCTACTAAGTGCATATGCCTTCTTCGAGGGGTGATTGGCTGCCCTAAACATGACATTTATTTGCTCATCTTGTGTCCCTGTAGTGACAGCTGGAGAGAAAAAGTCACCACTCCTAAGCAGTGGKTGCAAGCTGTCCCATCAAGCCATCAGAAATATCTAACAGGCCTAGCAGGGAGATGTCACTTCTTGAGCGCAAATGCCATTGCCTGAATACAAGGATGGACCAGGCCATTACTGTGTGAGATGTTTGATTTTGAAAGCTGCTTGCCATGATGAMAAAAAAGATCTTCCCTCTAGTATAKCTGGAATTTTGAGAAGAGGATGAGGAGTTACAGAGATGGACAACTTCTGGACTGTAAATGTTTACCTAAGGATGTACAAATTGTCAGGTCCACTCAGTTTTAATATAACATTGTCAGAATGGTTTCTCTGAAGCAGTGCAGGGGAACATAAGGATACAGATCAAAACATAGTGCTGATATTCCCAGCACAAAATAAAAGCATCTGGCTCTATGAGCCTGCTGGCACATGCAGGAACAGTTGCAAGATTCAAATGAAGGAACATTCTTGTGGCCACTGAGATGGTTCAGCAGCAGCTGAGGTTTTGTCCCTTAAGGTTTAAAATTCAGTTTTTTTCATTCAAATCTGCTCTCACAGCACCTCAGTCCAGCATTCAAATAAGCCAAGGGCCTGAGAGGTATATTGAGAAACTGAGAAATGGTAAAAAAGGTAGTTCCCTGTGTTTGTTAACTGCTCTGTCGGTTTTGGTTCAGCTCTGGGGGGATACAACAAGCCATYTGCAGCCCTCAGCCAGCTGCTGTGTCAGGGCCAGCCCAAGGCCTGAAGAACAGCCCTGAGCTGAGGATGTCCTCTGGCCACGCAGTTTCATTTTTGGGAAGAGSGAGGGAACCCTGTCCCTCCACTGCCCTATTTCTCACCCAAGCTGAGTTGGCTTTTGGCAGGTGCCAGCAGTACCTTTGCCCTTGGCTGGTGCTACTGTGCCAGGCCAGGGCTGAAAAACAAAKGTCTCTGGGCATTTGATGCTTCCTTCTAGCCTAACCAAGACAGCCATGGCACCTGCTGGCTTGTGGCTAAAAAGCCTCTCTGGCCTCCATGTCAGACTGTCACTGAGAGGGGAGGGGATGGCTCTGAGTGTTTGCTGTGGGCATATGAAGGTTAGGCAGTGCCCAGCTGGACTGGGCTCAGGAGACATTCCTGCGTGTTTCAGGAGGAGGCAGGGCTCTTGCAGGGCTAAAGCATGGCAGCTGCAGCTTCATGAGAGAGAATTCATCAGAGAGCTTCATCC